AAAACAGTGGAGGTTTCTGCAACTGAAACAGACTGATTTAATTACTTGTGTTTGTTGAAAAATACATGAGAAGAAAACATTGAAAAATAATCACATATTAAATCGCAATATTGAGGTAAAAAAAAATCACAGTTATATTTTCCAAAATCGTTCAGCCCTAGTCCCCACAAAGACCAGTTGGTCCTCACGATGTAGTATGTTGGAAAATGGTCCTCACAAAGTAACATAAACAGGCACACACACACACACAAACAGGTAGGCTACATCCTGTAGATTACTTTATAAAGAGCGTTCCAAACGCTCATCCATCTAGTTTATTAGCTTTAACAATAGGAGCATAGTAAAAACTGACTGTAAATGAGAGAATTACGACGTAAAAACGTCACAGACGCTGAGGCCTTTATTGCCGTCGGTTGGTGCAAACAGAGATGAGTGAACAGCCCTGAGAAACCAACACCTACTTCCAGGTTCCAGCAGGTCTTTAAAGACTCCGCACACAAACAAACCACCTGCTCTGGTTCGTTTGGACTCTAGCTACTTCAGCCTACTTTTAGCTGTTTTATCCATGTTTCAAAACGTTAGCTTGTTTAAAACATGACCGCGCTGACTTTAACTTTTATTTTGTACACATTATACTTTTTTACATTATTTAAATTTATTTATGATTATTTTACTCATAAAAAGGTGGAGAACTCTCCAAATCCTTAAAAACGTTGTGCTCTATGTAAACTCCTTCAGTATACTTGCTTCCATTATAGCGTTTAGATAATGTTTCGCAATTTTCAGCTGTTTTGCTCATTTAAACGTTTAGCTACTGTTCTTCTAAGTCTACTAGCTACTGTTTAGTTACTTTTAGATTTAGCCACTATTTTGCTGGTTTTAGCTTTAAGCTACTGTTTTGTTGACCGCTTGAACTTTGACAAATCAGTTTCAACTTATTTAACAAATTTCAGCAATCATTCAGCTCTCAAACTGAATTTCACAGAAATGCTACTACTTTTAGCTTTTAGCTACTGTTCTGATTAGTTTAGCTTTCAGCTACTGCATTTTTTGCAGAACATGCAAATTTATTTAGTCTTTATATAGTCTTTTTTATTATTATTAAAAAGCTAAACGGCACGAACGTTGCTATGATTTTATGTTTGACAGATGAAGAAGCATGTTTAAGTTTAATTAGTGGCTCTTTGATTCCTTTAACCGAGTCAACATGGCCCCCGGGTAAAGCGCTGCCCACCCGGTGCTAAATGAACGCAACCTGCAGAAAACAGGCATGACTCCCTCGGCTCATTTAAAACCATGTGATGATCTGCCCTTCGTGTTTATCCTCAGAGGACAAACATTAGTTAACCCCTGAGCTGTGAGTAACGGCTCTGGCCTGGGGGCTGGGGGGGAGTGGGGCTCATCGTCTGTGTGTGGGGGCCCGCTGGGACTCTCAGCGCAGCCGCCGCTGCGTTGATTTACTCGCTGACACCAGAACTGATGAGGGATCAAGCTGGCCACGGGCCAACAGAGGCAGATTGGACGAGGGGAGGACGGGGGAGGCAGAGAGCTGTAGTGTGGGTTGACAGTGGGCTTCTCCCTGGGGCGACGCTCCCTCGTCGATGGCCTGAGCGGCGGGGGCCTGCAGCGCACTTGTTAAGCCGTTGACCTTTAATACACACTTGTCATCTAATATGTTTCACATGTGCGTCCCTGTGGAGAGATTGATCCACCGACACGGGCTGTGGGAGCTGTAACACTTTTACCTTTTTCAAGAGGCTCGCAGGCAAAACAGACAATGTTTTTGTCCATGACTGTGTGTTTGTCTGCCGTGTTAGCAAAATATCTCATGAACCATTATACGTATGGCTGCAACGCAGGAAGTATCCAGAGAAAATGACCTGAAACTTGATGTGATATCGGCTGAAAGCCAACGCGTACTCCGAGCGCTAACTGGTGCCACGAAATCAGTTTATAATGCTGCCTTTGAACTTCTAGAGTCAAATCTGCCCGTCTGTTAGCAAAATATCTCATGAACCACAATCAGATTTTGATTGGACGTTCATCTACAACTGATTAACTCCTGGAGTCAAACCGGGTACCACAGCTAATCAACACTAGCAGACAGAAAACGCCTCAAACTCGGCTATTTTCCATATATTGACCTGCGAGCTGACGTATTAAAAGCTAAGAGTCGCCCTCAACGTGCACGTTGAGCTCTAACACATCTTACTGTACATCTCACAAAGCTGCATGAGATATAAAGTTATTTACACGGTTCGACCAAACGAGCTGTTCCTCCGCTCCTTGTAAGACGATCTCAGTTTAAGATCCTTGCGTAAAAGGCGATGAGCGATTCCCATTTCATAGGTCTTCATAGAACTTGGTGGTTCCAGCAGACAGCTGGGAGCTCTGGTGCAGTCTGACATTTCCAAATAAAGCAATATGATCAGTGAGAGGAAGCCTCTGGTTCACATACAGCCTCTGCATTCTGATTCACTGCAGAGTGTGTCAGGGAGCTTACTGTATGTTCAACACACCAACATGCTGTCAGTGGGGGGGGGTGTCCCAAAAACCCTACATCCATTCTCACTCATCATTATCATCACTCATATGGCAGCTATCACACCTACCATATTTTAGTGTGAACAACAAAAAAGTTATCAGATTATGCAACAAAACAAGAAGAATACAGGAACACATAGTGCAAGGCATGCTGGGAATTTCCCTCAAGAGCTTTCAGTGTTGTGCCATTATCTCTGTGTAATGCAAAGCTGATGGAGTGTGAAGGCTTCACTAACAGCAGTGGCATGAACTGCTGTAACACTTAAAACAGGACTTGTTTTAGGACAGTCACAGGATGGGAATCTGCTGGACGGTTCTGACTGCGGACCGTATTTTCCTGGACCACGTGTCCACACGGTCTCTTGTCATTGGGAACTGAAGCCACAGGTTTAAGAGCGCTGCCCTGTTGTGGAGTATTTTTGGGAACCGGTGTCTGTGCACTAAAGAGAACAGTAATGATCCAATCCTGGTGCTATAATAAATAACTAATTACAGCCGGTCTTCAGAGAAAAATTCATATGTTTGAAAATACAGCAGCAAAGTAAGAAGGAGGCGGGGCTTAAAACCTGACCTGGGACCAGTCTACGGTAAGCCTTAATGGTTGATGGTATTGACAACGTCATTGTTGCTTCTCCGAGCAGATTCTGTTGTCTTACAACATCCTGTGTAAATATTAATATTTAAGCTTTTACATTACCATCAGTTGCACATTACATACGTTTTATTGTGGCAGGAATAGTTTCACTCATGCGAACCGGAAGTGTTACAGCTAGCTGCTGCTGCCTTTGTGAGGTGGTAAACAACCGCTAAATTCAGTGTAAACAAAGATTTATAGAAGAGTGTTCACGTAAACAATCATGATTTATTCTGTTATTGGAACCTCCATATTGGTCTTCACATCATTTGGACTAGTCGTAGGAATGGGCAGGGGGTGTTGATTATGATGAGTCTAGTTAAGTTTGGCAATCTCAAAGAAATCACGTGACGCCTTTTTCCCACCCACGCCTGGTTGTGACACGTCGAGGTGCCGGTGGTTTTGTCAGAACAAACCTTCTGAAATCAAACGACAAAACAACTCCAAGTGTCCAGCATTTATTCTGACATCGCCTTTTATTTTGAAAGGATTATAAAGTGGAATCTATGGTCACGGTGAGCTCAGCTTTACTGCCAGAACACATGCCCCCACCATGCTGATCCACTGGACCAGTAAACGTGAAGGAATATGAAGGTCCTTGGCTAGCAGGATTAGCAGCAGCTCTGGAAAACAGCTAAACTTGTATTTTATTAGAGGGTTTGTTTTAGAGGTGTGGTCATTTTCAAGCAGTCTTAAATCCTAAGGCCTTGTGAAAAACCATCTCTTCAAAATGGCCGCACAGACCAGTCCGTCTTTCTCCTTCCTGGAGCCATTCATGGAGCAGGCCTCTTCCCGGGAACACGATGAACTAAGTGACTTTAGAAATCCTCTTTGTGTTTTTAAACCACACAGTTCTGTGAGTCATCGGTGTCCTTATGCTAATAAATCTGTTTAATTCACACGCAGTTCTCATCACTTCAACACATCACTGAGTCCACACTTTACACGGCACAGAGGCGCACCATAGGTGGGCTGGGTTCTACCCCCCACACCCCGCCCCAGCCCAAGCAGAAGTCACACCGAGGAGGCGTCTCAGACCTGGACTGAGGTTTACACTGCACTCTGGGGGGAACGCACGTCACACACAGTCACCGAAAAACTAAATGACACAAGACAGGCTGTGACAGAAAGAGTTGGCTGTTTGCTAACGCTCAGAACGTAATAAACTTTACCACAATAAACAATTACTGACAAACAACAACTGGTGGTTCAAAGTCCCATCACCCACCGCTCCTTAGCTCCTCCAGCCTGTATGACCCTCAAAGATCACGCACAACAGGTAAGATACTCATTGTTCATAACCTTTGCAGAAAACCTCCTGAGTATCTCTTCAAAGAGCCCCCACCTGGAAGCTGTAAAAACCTCTGGAGCGGAGCATCCCAACAAGTGCTTCCTCCGCGTGCGCGTGGGTGTATGTTGGGGGGGGGGGGGGGCAGCATCAGTCCGGCTCGCGGGTGTGACATCAGGACAATAGCAACAGGGCCGTCCTGAAACCCGCATCCGTAACACTGGGACGTTATCACACGCGCGAGCACGCGCACAGCGGGAGCTGTAATATGCGCACGGATTGAGCACAAAGGCTGATTAACAGAAAACATGACAGGAGTCCTGTTCCCAGACCAGTCCATCAGAGACCTGTACCACACCTGATGGTTCTTTAAAGTGTCGGACTCTCTGGGTTCACCCCCCCCCCCCCCCCAAATCACCACCACCCCCCTGCAGCGAGCAGGACATTTTGTGGTAGGAGGCAGGAGCATGTTTTATTGTGCACCCAAGCAGCCCCTTGGTGCCGCGCTGCGCGGGGACAGACGAGCAGACTCACCTTCCACAGCCAGGACCACCGGGACCACGAGGCTGCACAGCCACAGCAAGGACTCCATGATGAGCAGGCGGCTGCAGCATGAAGGGGCTGAGCACCTCGGACCGACTCACAGCGCCGCAGCACAGCTTCTGTCCCTTCTGCTCGTCATGTCTGTGGGGCGGGGAGGGGGTCTCGGCAGTCCGGGTCCTTCCTTCACTCCGGGTGGTGGATGTCGGTGCTACAGGAGGAGCGTTACGCTGCGCCTTTTCTCCTCCTCATTCTCTTTGTGTGACTTTACCCACAACCAGCTTCTGTCCAGGGGCGCATCTCTGCTCTGCCTGCCCCCCCACGAGCAGCAGGGGCGAGGACGGGAACCCGGGGGTCGCAGTTCTCTGAGCTCAGCTCGCAGGGGGATCTGGGAGTCCACCAGGTCCAGCTCCGCCAGGATGCTGCTCCTCTGCGAGAGATGTGTGTCGGAATGGCAACAGAGATCGAGGGGGGGGGGGGGGGTGCTCTGCGGCGGCAAGGCATACATAACTAACACCACACTTCCGTTTAATACTTTCAAAATAAAAGCCTGATAT